TAATTGAAGATTGGATTTCATCCCACTGATCTTTTCTCAAGACTGATTTCAGTTCACAGGACTGAAGAGTGGCACCCCTGTGCTTGAGAACTAAACACTTGGGGCTCCGCACTGGGCTGACCAGGCAACCAGAACATCTGCTCTTGCACTCCAGAGCCCAAAGGTCAAGAAAACTGAAATGGGCACAGTTGGCTTTGCCCCTCCATGGGTTGTCGAGCCACTGAATTTTAATTCAGCAGATAATGTTTGAGTAAGTAGGAATTAAGGAGTTCTAGGGCTAAGAGTTTTAAAATAAAACATTGCTGAATCGATTTTAATTTCTCACAGGACCATTCATTTCGAATACGTCAAATAATGCAACTTGAAAAAGTATAAAAATTAAAAAAGAAGAAATAAATTAACAAAAATTTAAAAAAAAAATATTTATGATGCAAAAGAAAGATAAATGAATTATTTATAACATACATAAATTTTAGTTTGAACACACTCTTTTCTTCTTATCCCAAATAATAAATTTTTGTCATTTGTAACAGATTCAGGGTATCTGCTACATTTTAGATTTTCAAATTCATGACTTTCCATGACTAATTCCAAGAATTTTTTATGACTTAACAAACAGAATTTTTAACAGAATTTTTTATGACGTAACGAAGTTACTATTTTCTCCGACAAAAACACAACAATAAATTTAAAAAAACATTCATTGAAATGATAGGTAAAACCAAAACTGTTATACTCTGCATCTTCATATTTATAGGTTTTAAATTTAAAAAACAGACTAAAGAAAGAGTTGAAGCAATAAAATACAAAAGCGAATATTCTTTTTCCTGCAGAATTACATTCTAAAGATACTTTTCTTGTTCATGGAAAAGGAAAAAAATACTCCTGATTTTTCTGTTCTAATTTCGGAGTAAAAAAATTCGCCAATGACTGGCTTGCCTTTAGCTAAAATTTTAAATTGATAAAATAATAAATAATAACAAAAATTCTGAAATAACAGAAGTTTAAAAGATAATTCGCTCTAGAAATGATGTTTTTTTATTTTATTTTTAGACAGAACACCATAATTTTTAAAGAACAAAATCAAATCAAATCAAATATGACTGTGGGTGGGGATTTTGTTACAAATTCAGATATTCCGAACACTATGAAATTGGGAGGGGGGGTGTAAATTCCATTTTAAAAATTTAATTTTTCGGCAACCTAAATCCATGACTTTTCATGATTTTTTTAAAAATATAGTTAAAATCATGACATTTCATGACAAATTTTGTTTAATACCAAAATTCATGACTTTCCATGATTTTTCAGGACTTTCCAGGTGTGCGGATACCCTGCAGATTACTGTTTTTCTTCTACAAATTAGTGAGAATAAAGAAAGTTTCTCAGTGTTTAAAGGCTTTGAGGTCTCCCTTAAAAATTGCCACTGACTATGGTTTTGTTACACTCATCTTCACTAACATCATTAGCACTTCTTCAGTTTCTGCAATCAGTTTTTCAATCAACATTATACCACAGGTTTCACTATTTCCAACAACCGATGCAGAAACATCAAATGTGATGTTTGGGGCATTTTGCATAAACTGTAACAAATCAAAATTTTCTTCATCATTAACATCAAAAATTTCTGTTTTTCTTCTTTAAGCAAAATAACTTTTTATTTCAAATGTGTGTCATTAACTTCCAAAAACGATTTTAACGAGTGTTATTAACATTATAAAATTATGACCACAGACAGGATCAGCAAAACAAGATGATACATATGGGAAAACAAAAGGTATAGGGACAAAGGATCAAGGTTCAACTGCAGATTAAAATTACGTGTACCAGTGAAACAGATATATGATCCATCTATTATACATGATCATATGAGCAAACTTCATTATCAATCTTATCAACTGCAGTTTTAAGCATAACTGATTAAAATGCATTTAAGCATATCACTGATAATTTCAAATTACTATTGCAAAAAATATATTAATGCTTTTGTTTCAGGGTGTCCATATACGGTGAAATCCCGGCTTTATGCTGTCCATTTTGTATGTTATCCTACTTCTTACGTCATTTTCTGCTGGTTCGTGAAAATTGCTTATACCAATAAGGTCATATTTACCCGGATTTTACGTTACCCTTTATAAGAAAATCCTGTTTTATTTGTTTTTCTAAATGTTAAAAATAATTTTTTTCTAAAAAGCTTGCACAAACTTTTTTTTCGTTTTCTTTTGCTTCCCTTTTTTAAAAAAAGAGACTTGATTATTAGCTATTAATTTAACTTGTAAAACATTCTTTCTATTTTATCCTTAAATCCTTTTGTCTGTGAGAAGGACTTTCCCTTTTATTTAAAATCAGTAGGGTGGTGGGATGGGCAAAGCACGGGAAGAGTAGTTAAAGGAAGTATAAGAGCTTAAATTGTAAAATTTGCAAGTGGAATTTTTTCCAGCAAACTTCAATCTTTGAATCTTAGAATTATCCAATCATTTAAAGAATGTTACACTAAACAATTGGTTAGGTAATCATTTATTTTCGTGATTTGAGTGATCTGCAAGATGCTTCTAAAGCAAAATTAAATATTCTGGAAGCTCTAAATTTGATTTTTATAGCATTGGCAGTATTGACTAAAATGATTTACAAATGGGTTTCATAAAGCTTCTTAGTATTTAATGGGAACATTGGCCCTACAATACAAAATTGAATGTCAGAAGATCTTTTAAAGTCGATGGCGTGCATATCGATTGCAGATATCCCATTACTTTTAGATTTCTTCAACATCTGATTTAAAGCTTGCTTCGAATTATAGAGATGAAGACGATGAAGATAAGTAAAAAATATCAGAGGATATAGCCACAACTGATCAAAAGTTTGAAAGCATGAAAACTCTGAAACATTTGCGAATGTATGCCATAAAACAAGTTTGCAAAAATATTGAAAGTGATATTGTAACAATTGTATCAAAGAACAAAAACTGTTTAAGATTACACTCTTTTTCCAGTAGTTCATCTCATTAGTGTAAATTTTTAAGCCCCAATTTTACGTTATCCCACTTCATGTGTTTTATTAATGCTAGATCAACGGAAAACGTAAAATCGAGGTTTCACTGTAATATGACCACTTTTTAAATCTCTCACTATATGTTATTCACTAATTCTCATCCTAATAGTATTGAAATAAATGATCAATAATTTAAATTAAAACTCAAATACGAAGAAACGAAGCAATGCATTAGTTAAAATAATCTTTTTATTACTTTGTCACTTGTTCATTACATTTGAATCATAGTAAAAAACATGTGTATGCATTAATATTATCTGGATAATTCAAATCAAATTTCTCAGAAATTATTTTCGCAAAACATCTGACCAAGTTACAAATATTTTCTTGTAATCTGTCAGCAAGAATATTTTTAACCTTATAAAACAAGAAAATTATTCACTCACAGAAGCTAATAGTTGAATATAATTATAGACATATTATATCTTTACATTTTATTTATATCTTTTTCTTTCTTGAAATTGTTTTCTTTTCTATAATCTAACCTGCAAAACCTTTGAGAATGTTTCATTGGACCCTAGGACATATTACTATTTCATTCAGTGACTTTTCCAAAAACAATTTATGTTTTACCTTTTAGTATGTAATAAGATAGAAATAGCTAAAACATTGTATTAAATTAAAGCAATTTAATTTTTAGTTTGGTTTCTTTGGAATTGTTGGATTTTTAAATAAATTAAAAATTGTTAATTTATAATTAATTTTAAAAATTCAAATAATTTAATTCAAAAAACATTTTTTTTAAGGAAACAATATATTTTAATTATAAGACATAAAAGGACTTCATATAGTGTATTATTTTTACGTAAAAATTAGCATATTATTTGATGATGAAATTACTCAATATTGAGTGTTTGGTCAAATAAATATTTGTTATTTCAATTAAAGTTAGTACGAGTTCATGGGTTGTTGCCCAAAAGTTGTCAAAACTTTTATTTTATATAAATATTTATTTATTACAAATTAATAATTTTAATGTATAATCTAATTATTTGAATTGGCTATCAAAAAATTTAATTCTAATGAACTTATTTCTTCAAAGTAAAATTAATAAAATCAATGATAAAATGTTTGGCAAAATATCAATCTTTACTTATTAGCAAACTTTCATAACATACATAAATATAGTTAGATAACAAGATAATTTTTAAAAAAATTGTTACCACTAAAAGTTCTATTTGGTTTATAGTAAGTTTCACTTTATTTATAAAATTTGATTAATAATAAATACAAAAAGATATCATTTTCAATATGCTTTCTTAATACATACAGCTGGTGGTACAACAGGTGAACCTTAAGAAATAAAAAGTGCCATATCCAAAGAAATTATACATCATTTGTAGCAAAAAAAGCTGATATGGATATTTTTTCGATTCTATTTATCAAATAAAAGGATTGTATTCTTTGAAAGGAAGAAAAAAAAAACCTAAGGAGCTTCTTTGTAAATTTTTCTATTATTGGATCAATTATTGTTTACTAAATATAAGCATGCTATTAATCAAGTATATTTCAGAAATTTGAGTATAAAGAATCGGACTCAATAATACTTCATTTCATTTCTCATATAAATAGGATGAAGGAACAAAAACTTTTTTTGTTTCCCATCCTACACTGCCTACTATTGTTACTGAGTATGAATTACATTTAGAGATTAACTGGCTTACTATGGTTATTAATTTGATCAGTAACATAATCAGCTTAAAACGTTGCTTAAGAAATATAAAATAGAGGAGAACAAAAATAGCAGAATTATTTAATTAACAGCTGAGAAAAGGATTCAGTTCTTCGTAAAAAGTTCATCCGGTAGATTTTGGGAACTCAAAGTTTGTATAAAATAATCAATTGCTTATTATAATAATAGGTCACAAGACAGAAAATCGATAAAAGTTTAATAGATATTAAATATATGAAGTTTTATAAGAGAAATATAATATAAAATAAAATAAACGTACCATACATCCCACAGTGACGAGAATGACTACAAAAGCAAATAACAACATCCGGCCACACCAGTTAGCGTCTAGGGAATTAGGTAGGGATTTTTCACTTGCTTCCTTTCCCCGTCGGGTATTTTGACCCAGCTACCGGAAGTGTTCCCCCTCCCAACATAAAGAGGCCCCATTCCCATCATGTGTATTAAACATTCGTTCTTTTATAACTCTTCACGGGATGTCAACTGAAGGCTTGGATACATTACTTGATAGTTTTATGCCGTGGCTCTTTTATTTTTGGATCCAAAATTTATACCTCAATAGGGATCTTTGCACACTATGCTAATAATTCATTACAATATGCCTCTGTTAACTTAATATTTATTTGTTTTTAGCCTTCACTCTGTCAGTGCTAAATCTGATTTAATTTAGATAACTGTGAAACAAGAATTTCGTTGTGAAACAAAAGTTATTAAGTTACTAATCTCAGAGTAAAATTTTATAAATCAAGAAAAAAGTTTAAATAAATAAGAAAAATTATAATTAAAGTATTAAGATATTTTTAATCACGGAGAGCCTGAGGCAGCGTCACGATAAGATTCTATTGTTCTTTTTTATGAGTCTGAAATATAATTAATGCCAATAGTGTTGCCTCCGTTGCGTTGCGGATTAAACATAGAGGTTTTATAATCATTTTAAAAGGTAGGTTACTCAATGCAAATGAAAGGAAATTAACGTTAATTAAACCTCCCCTTTGTTTAATTCTAAATCTCCAGAGGAACAATCAATTATAATTAGAAAATTGTAGCTCTCCGAAAATAACATTTAATGAACAGACGTAGCGCAAACAATTTTTTCGAGGGGAAACACACAATTTTTTTTCGTTCAAGAAATCTTTTTTTATTATTATTTTAGTTTTAACAATATATTATGTAATTTCTACTGCATTAATATTTTTATTAATCAAAACACGATTTTGGAGAAGATAAACAAAAAAAAAATAATAATATTAAAATTACATATAAGTATTTTTTTTTTTTTAATCATTTCTTAGCAAAGAGTTATAAGTAGAGCCCGGATTTTGATGACCTAAAAAATCTCGACTAATGCCCTTAAAAAGTGCAAAAAATGCCCTTAAAAAGGGCAAAAAATGCCCTTAAAAATACAAAAATTGCGCAAAAAATGCCTTAAATAAAGTAAAAATATTGAATTAAAAATTTTTTTTGCTCTTTAAAATTATTATGAGTCATTTAAAAGATATAAAGCAATGCAATACTTGTTCTACGCTCATTAAAGTTTGAAAAGTATGTTTTATATCCTAAAATAACAAAAAAAGGAAAATATATTGACACCAAAATATTTTTATTTTGTATAGAAACTTTAATGGATATAACAACTTCCATCTAATAATATTACTAAATATCAGAATTACATTGGATTATTGAATGTTCTTTGATATTTTGAAATGTAAACGAGCGTCTCTTGTCTGAAAGTAAATTTTCATTCCTGCAAAAGCTTCTTTCAACGTCTACTGATGTTATAGGTTATATATTCTTTGGTTATAGGTGCGTACTTGAAAAAGACGGTCTTACTAACTGACAATTCTTCTTCAATTTGAAAAGATGTTGCTTCACCTGTTAATATCCTATAGATTTTCTTTATTGTTTGGAAGCCAGTGTAATAATGAAAATTGATAAAAAATAATAAAAATTGTAAGAAATTAACAGAAAACTTTAAAAAATGCATTAAAATGCAAAATACGCCCCAAAATTTCAAGAAAAATGCCCTATAAATCTAAAAAAATGCTCTAAAAGACAAAAAATGTCCAAAAATGCAAAAACATGCAAATGTCATCAAAATCCGGCCCTTAGTTATAAGCAATAATTTCTTACTGTAGACATGACACGTTTTGTAACGTGTTTACTCGAAGGGCATGTTGTTAAATTATGATAATTTTTATATTTTCATATTCATTAAAATAAAAAGTGGTGGCAAAATGTTTTCAATTTTAGGAAAAGGTAAAAATGTTTGAAGGTAATGAGCTTCAGTAAAAAACAATTCTAATTTCAAAGAAAGAATATGAATAGGAATGTAATTTTCATCGATTTCTAAGTGAATTTTTAAATACTAGTTCAGCCATTTCGAAACTTCTAAGTGAATAACGAAATTATCTTTTATTAGAATTATATTTCGTTTTAATATTTAAACTCAGTTGACTAGGTAAAAATAAAACAAAATCCAGTACAATCCTCATTAGCGCAAAATATATCTACAAAGAAAATTCAGAATGTATAATTTAAGTGAGACTATGGTATCAGAAATTCTTGAATCAATTCGCAGAACTCTTTTATATATATATATATCTATATTCAAATTTGTGTGCGATCCCAATGCAGTCTAACAGAGGATATTATTGTAAAAATTAAAAATCTATTTGACTGACATGCAACTAACGTAATTTTTCAAAGATAAGATGGATAAAAAATTATCTATCTATCTATCTATCTATCTATCTATCTATCTATATATATATATATATATATATATCCTATATTGGGATGTCCAGATTTTTTGATATTTGTCGTAGGATGGCTTTTAATATTGGGCAATAACAATTCTATACAGGGCCGATTGGTTGAAAAGTGGCTGTAAAATATCGCAAAATAAAAGATTCAAGGAAATTGGTCGAATACTTTCTGAGAAATCGAATAATAGAAACACGGCTTTCTTTTGTGCTTTGTACTACCCGGTACCTGGCCAGATTTTCATTACCCGGTCCGGGCAAAAAAAAAAAAAAAATTATCTGGTACCGGATATTCGATATGAATAAAATTAGGAATAAATAAGTGCAAAATTAAGAACTATATTGATATTTGTTTAAAGCAGATCCGGTCATTTGTCCGGCATTTGGTTGCCCGACGCTTCATTTCCTAACATGTACATTAGTCTGAAAGGGCCGGGATAGCTTGGTTGGTAGAGAGTTGGGCCCATGTTCAAGAGCTCGTGAGTTTGATCCCCGAAGGTCAAAGATTCCCCTTATAGTAAATTGTGACTGGTGCACGTTAAGCCTGTTTGGTCACAAGTCCTCCATGTTCCCATAACAAATCTTACTTCTGGGGGTACTGAATACGAGATTGGTCGTTTTCTCGTTGAGGTCAAAATTACGATCTGTGGATGAGCGAAGCGATGTATGAATGGATCCGCCCTATAAACGGGCTGTGACGTGTGTGTGGCTGAAATCGTATTATTGGCTATAGATGGCGCCACTGGAAAAACAAGAAACGCACTCTTTACCTTAAATTTGCTTGGTTTCTTCAATCAGGCTTGCTGGTATTGGCAAGTAGCATTAGAAACAACAGCAACAATAACATTTACCTGACCAATTGTTTTCCCGACTGGTACCTTTGCCCTACAGGGTTGGTATGTAAGGGAAAGGAGTATAAGATTCTTTATTGGTAGACTGAGTGTCGGAAAATGTATCAAATCCATTTAAAGTTTCATAATAAATCACAGTGAATAAAATTTTAAAAAAATTTGGAAAAATGTAATATATGTGCATTACTCTCATAGTAAATTTGCCTTCAGAAATGCTTTAATAATATGCTTTTATTTTTGTAGGCTTAAGCATTTTAGAAAAAAAAAGTAATGGACAACAATTGCAAACAAAACAGATATTTTCTTACAAATGACACATTTATTATTCCAATGCTATTGTTAATTTAAACATCATTGAAAATTATTTAATGGTAAATAAAGGCACATGTTTTAACTAAAAAAACTGTTTTAATTGATAAATTTTTTAAAAGTAGTTTTTATTAAAAAAAAGTTTTTAATTTTAAGATTGAAATTAAATTTAATATTAAAAAGAAACATGTAGGAAGATCATTGATTATGGGAAACTTCAAAATTAAATTTTTAATCGAAAGCGTGTTTCTTTACTTGTCATAGTTCAATAAATTCAATTTCCAACCACTCTGGTAAAATTTCTCTTTCCGCCGAGTTAACTATTAGAGGTTATCGTGGTTTTAAGCTCAGTCTAACACAAATACGCATTAGTTTCACAGGTAAAGTTTTTCATCTTAAAAACTATTTTAGGTATTTATTTATTTCGTAAGAAACTGTGAGATTACACAAACCCTCTTTTTTTCTTATGATTTCTTTCCTTATTCTTTCTCTCCTTATAATTTAAATTATAACTTTTCCAACGTCTTAAGAAAACTAAAAAGTGGTACATAAATTTTGAAAAAGGATACCCGAAAATTCACAACTTTACCATTCCAATTTTAAATTGCCAGAATAGAAATCTTCAATAGAGATTCTGTAACAAAAACAATTTTTGTTTTTTGATGTGACAGGAATCGGAATGAATTCATCTTTGAGAAGAAGACTTTAAAGTGAACCACCATTCGTGTTAAATGGATATTGAAACTCCGAAAATCTTTAATTTTATGCCCGATGGCAATGGTACTCTGACCTGTTTCAACTCAATCAGTGTAAATTTTTCATCAGCACTATGATCTCTGCTAGGCAAGAGCCATGTAAATTCATAATATATATATATATNTGCGCATTTTTAATTTACTAGGAGGCTCTGCCCCCTGTTCGTCTTGCTCACCATCCCCCGTGGTTGCCTTTTATTCATTATCATTCATCATTAGTTTTTAAAAGTCGGCAAAAGAGATCTTTTTGTTTAAAAAATACTTACATATGGGTGATTCTTTGGAAACATGACAATTCGGAACAAAAAATTTCTTCAAATTTAAAGTTTTCAAAATAATCGAAATTTTTTTTCGTATATTTTTTATATAGTTACATTTATTGATATCTTACAGACCGCAGTGTAGTTTATTGACATTCGCGCAAGAAAAAAAATAAAATAGAAATGCACCAAATTTTGAATGCCAGGAAAATGACATATTAGCTTAGAAGTTAAAAGAACAGTAATTTTAAGCTAATAGTAAGTAACTCAACTTAAGCCTTTGCATTAGATGGACCATGAATTTCTTAAATTAATTCTTTTATCCACTGTAGAAAGAAACAAAAAATTTTTTGTTATAATGTAAAGAAAAATAACTTTGATTACATTCAAGCATATTACAATCTTACATAAACTTGGTATTAGGTTAATAATTGCTTTCTCTCTTTACATTCAACTGTTTAAAAAAAATTCTG